ATTTAATTTACACTGACAAAAATTATATAAAAGAAATTTTAAATACACTGTAAACAAAATTGTAATTTTTCGCATTTAAAACAAGTAGAAAATTATAGTGTGACTTACTCACTGACTCACTGAAGCTAAAAAGCTGAAATTCGGTATACATATAAATACTTAATGACAGGCTCCCAATACGATATTGGAACCACATGGAATAACATTTTTATTTCGGCAATATGAGGGGAAAAAATGTACCAAAATGGGGTAAAAACGGGAAATTTGATTTTATTCAAACTCCTTAAGCAAATTTTAATAAAATTTTATAGATTTAGTAACACTAATGGGGCGAATGAAATTAAGCATATGGATTTCTCAGAAAATGATATTCTATAAAAGGGGACTTTTTGGTACCTTTTCGATCTTTGACTGGTACTTTTTGAGTTTTCTTTAATATTGAACCTAGAAACATAAAATTGAACACTCAGGAACTTAAGTGAGAGGAACTCTGTGATCCGGAGTGTATGAATATCTATAAAGGTACTGGTACTTTTTTGTTCCTCAAAAGGCACTTTATGAATTTTCTTTAATATTGAACTAAGAATCATAAAATTAAATACGCAGCATCCTGGGTGAATGAAAATCTATAAAAAGGATACCAAGGACTAATGTTTGGTACTTTTTGAGTATTCTTTAATATTTAGAAATAAAAAATTAAACATTCACATTCCTAAGTAATAGAGAATATATAAAAGGGAACTTTTTGGTACTATTTCTTACATTGACTGGTACTTTTTCAGATTTCAATAATATTGAACCTAGAAACATAAAATTGTACACTCAGGGAAGGAATTTTTGGTACCTTTTCATTCTTCAATGGGTACCTTTTGAGTTTTCTATTATATTGAACCTAGAAACATAAAATTAAGCATTGAAGGTTCCGAGTTAATGAAAATATATATGAAGGGACACTTTTTCTTTTTTCAACAACCGTCTGTTTGTATAGTACCAGTTGGTCCAGCCGTTTCAAAATACCAGATATCACATGAAAAAAGTGACTTTATTTTTGTGGGTATTACAATGTCGAGTGTAATATATTTTAGTTTGATCCCATTTTGGAAAAGGCTAAAAAAATGTGTCTAAAACTACTATCCCATGGGACTACCATACCCGATGGCAAGACATCGGTTTCAAAAGTTGGATCACTTGACATAAAATGCTCTACTTATTTAAGCGATTAATGTAGGAATGATGTACCGAAAGAGATCAGTAATAGATTGAATCTCATTTGGGTCTTGATTTGAAAGAAACAAATTTCGAAACTAAGAACTTTTACTTGATGGTAAGTAAGGTTTTCATGGATCTGATCGAATCTGATAATGACGCCGAATGTACTCAAATCATAAGCAAAATATCACTTTATTGATTGTTTTCTTCACTTCTACAATTTGACATTTTTTATAATCTTCCTCTCCTTTTTCTTTCAGTGTCTGCATATGTATAAAAATATTTCGTATTTCTGGCCATTGTTACAGGTATTATAAATAAAATACAAGAATAACTTTGTTTTTAATTTTAAACATAAATTAAAAAATTTTGCAAAATTTTTCCATTCTCTCTTCATATTTTCTTTATTAATGAAGTTTTACCCCCCACCTCTGCCACTCGTGTCATATGTTGTATGTCGGTCTATCTGTCTGATTTTTAACCTTTGTTCTATCTCTCGTGAAATGTAAGACTATTTTAGGTGTTTTATATATATTAAGTTTTTTGGTTTTTAATGCTTATTTTTTTTTTTGTTGTTCTACCTAACTTTGATTGACCCAAATACATAAATGAAACATGCTGTTAGAAAATAATCAAATTTTATAAAAAATTAACTAGACTAAACACAAACAGAGAACAAATTTAATAAGCTTCTTGTCTCGATACCAATATCTATGCAAAAAGGCAGACAGACGACCAGCAAAAACATAGTTACTTACACAAATACAAGCAAAAACATTTACACAGATACTCCAAAAAGAAAAGGTAAAACTGTAGCTATGTATGTATGTATGTATGTATGTACATGTATATGTGTTCAATGATATTTGTGGGTTGTTGGTAAATACTATTACTTAAGGGCTTTTTACAGAAAAGTTTTTCAAAACTTTTCATTATTCTTATCAATCCGTAAATTTATGGGAACAAATTAACGACTGGTTGGGGGGCTGTTGCAAGTGCCTTTTATCTTGTTTTATTAATGGAAAATTCTTTATTTGTAGCTTTCAACGTATCAAATGGCCAACATTCATCATTATGTATGTTTTCGTTGTCTGTTTTAAATTAAAATTTTGCAGATTTAAGGGTATTTTACATAAACATGAGAAGAAAAATGAAAGATTTCGCTTTTATGACAGCCTGACTTGACTGGTTGTTTGTTGGTTGGTTAGATTTGTGTGAGTTTGTGTGTTAATTTTAAGTTATCGGTCTTTTTTTTTGGCGACAGAGATGAAGAACATACACATTAATTAGTAATTTGTTTTCTAAGAAGATTTGCATATTCTGTATGTCTTCTTTTTATGATATATTTTTCATAAATTGGAATTGAAATTGGAACCGTCAAATTGAGTTTCTATTTTTTTTTTGCCAATTGGCCAAAATTATGCATTTTGCAATTTGGGTATTTTTTTTATAAAGCGAGTCGACGCTATCGCACATATAAAAAGAAATTGTATTTTATGTGATCAAGCCACTTGAGATCTTAACTCGGAACAGAGCACAGTTATAACTTTAAATCTAGTTATTTATTTATTTATTCTTTTGTTTTAACTTTGTTGTTTAAAATTTAAATATGAAATTCTTTTGGTGTTTGACTATTGTTGTTTTGGCTTCTGCCTACTTGGCCAGTGGTAAGTTGAGGTTTTATTATTAGTTTTTTTATATATATTTTTTTAAGGAAAATATTATATCAATGTTGTTTTTTTACATTTACAGCCCGCAATGTTAACCGTGCTAATGTTGATACCGAATCTTTTGGCCGTTCTCACAAACAGGCTCGTGTCTTCCCCGGTGCCGTGGCGATTAAGAAATTGGTTTTGTTGAAATTCAAGAAAATCGTACCCATCTCTTTGATCTTGCTCAAGTCTAGCAACGAAAACGAAGCTGAATTGGTGCCTGTCTACCCCACCTCTGAAATTCCTTCTGATGTTCAATTCATTCCCACCCCCAACGGCATCTCTGGCCACAAGGATGTCCAAGCCATTGCTGTGCCCAACGAATTCCACCAACAATTGGAACTCCACGGTTTGACCAACTTGGAAGGCATTGAATCCTTGTTGAACCAAGCTGAACAAAACGAAAATGGTGAAAGCACTTTGACTGTCGCCGAACCCACCGAAAAGGAAGATGAACTCTTGAACCTTAAAGAAGAAGATGAAGATCAATTGTTGGAAAATGCTTCTGCCGATAAACCCGCCAAGAAGTCTGGCAACTCCACCAGACGCTTGTCCCTTGAAAATGCTAAATCTACTTTGAAGACTCAAACCTCCGTTGAAGAAATCCCCATTTACTTGTACTCCACCAACGATAATGCCCATGTCATCAAGCATCAAATCGGTGCCCGTCGTTACCAAAAGTCTTAAGTTATCTGGTAAATCGAACTAAGTGATAAATAAATGTGAAAGAAAAAAGGTTTAGGCGATAAAATAAAATAAAAACTAAATTATTTAATTTATGAAAAGTTTTATAGTGTTTTTACTTGTTTTCTGATGTTTGCTGAAGAATATGTTTTGGTTCCTTATTCAGGGTAATTTTCGGAGGCATGATTAAAATATGGAACGAACTCTTAGGGACTAAACTCAAATAACAAAGAACGTGTAACAGTTTGTAATAACGAACTTATTATTTGTGGAATATTTCGGACGACAGAGACTAACTAACTACTAACTAACTAACTAACTACTACTAACTAACTAACTAACGAACGAAAAAAAGAAAGAACGAACGAGAACGAAAGAACGAACGAAAGAACGAAAAAGAACAACGAAAAAAGAACGAAAAAGAACGAAAGAACGAACGAACTAACGACAACGAACGAAAGAACGAACGAACGAACTAAAAGAACGAAAGAACGAACAACGAACGAAGAAAAAGAAAGAACGAACGAACGAAAACACGAAACGAACGAACGAAGAACGAGAACAACTAACTAAAGAAATAACGAACTAACGAACTAACGAAACTAACAAAACGAACAAAAAACTAACGAACTAACGAACGAACACTAACTAACTACTAACTAACGAACTAACTAACGAACGAACTAACGAAACTAACTAACTAACTAACGAACTAAAACTAACTAACTAACTAACTAACTAACTAACTAACTAACTAACTAAAACAATAACTAACTAACTAACAAAACTAACTAACTAACTAACTAACTAACGAACTAACTAACTAACTAACTAACTAACTAAACTAACTAACTAACTAACTAACTAACTAACTAACTAACTACTAACTAACTAGTCATTCGTCTCTATGTTTCTTAAAACCAATTTTCTGAAGATCCCACCCATCTTCGGGATCAAAACCATAAATATTTCTATCACACATGGTTTCAAAAAGTTTCATATTTAAAATCAGCATAATTGGTTCAAAATATCCAAGAAATGAGAAAAATTCCTTAACAGCCCATCATAATGTTGCCAATTTTTCCACTACACAGAACACAAGGAAACAACATGTACATTCAATATTTACGGTTGAAATCAAAGATGGAAGGAATATATGAATAAAATTTGTTTTTTTTTTTTTTTTTTAATTACAAAAGTCAAAGAACCAAAGTTTTGAACATACTTTTAAGAATTAAAAAAAAAAATATTTTTAAATTTTTTATAAAAAGGAAAATATGTATTTTTTTTTTATCAAGAAATAAAACATAGTTATAAAAACATTAAAACCTAATTCTAATAGAATACAAATAAAAAAACGAATAAATAATTAACTTAAAAGAGAAACGAAAAACTTTAACCCATATACAAGGATACACGTCCTGGGCCACCAGCAGGTATTGTATAACGTATGCAAGGTGGTGGACCATAATAACCATACGTTGGACACGTGGTACAGCATTGTGTTGGTATTAATGGAAATGTTGGCGATGGAAATGGTTGTAGTGGTGGTGGTGGTGGCAACACCGATGGAGGACGTATAGGTATAGGTGGTCGTATGACAACTGTTGGCGGTGGTCGAGGTGCTAATGGTGGTTGGCAACAGACATTGGGTGGTGGCTGTGGTACAACGACAACAGTTTCACAACAACGTCGCTGTTGATAGGCATCCAGAGTGCAGGGATAAATGCATGTCGGTTGTGTAAAGCTGTTAATTAAATCGGTTATAAAAGTGAAAGTACGTCCATGTCGTTCATTTTCATCAATTACAGCAAATTGTTCTGTGGAAGAGTTAGGATTAATTGAGCTATAATGATGTTGTTGCTGCTGTTCTTGTTGCTGTTGTTGTTCTGTTAGTGGCTGTTGTTCATGTTGCTGTTGATAATGATTATAATGTTGTATGCGATTTTTAGGCCAATTAATTTCTGTTGAATCATTTATTATTTCTAAAGTTGTTGATGATGTTTGATTTTGCTGTTGACGTCGTTGCGGTAAGTATGTTGATGATGATGATGTCGATGAAGACGACGATGATGATGATGACTTACGTTTACGTATTTTAAATGCTACAAAATTTATTTGAAATATTGTTAGAAAAATTTTAATTTTTGTTTTGCCCTAAAGTAGACTTTAGATTTGGTGCTTTTATAGAATACACATAAGATAACCCAACAAACAAATTTGTTGCGGTTAGAACAAATAGTGAATATACCTAGAGCGTGAATCTAAAAAATTACATTCTGGGAATTCTATAATCCCTGCAAATTTGAAAAAGTATAACATTTCTTAAAGGACTAAGATCTAAGTAGTGTATTTTGGAACCTAACACAAATTTAAGTTTTCGAAACGCAACAATATTATCAATATTTTTCAAATTTTGTCATTCTAAATAACAAAATGTAAAAAAACTTTCTAAAAGGTCAAATTCCTAAAAACTTTAACGAAAATTCCAAAAGTGGGATTTTTACAATTTTACTTATAGAGACCACATTCCTTTTGGGATTCGGGAATATACTTTAGGATTAAATAAAGAACACATGAAGGGTTTCAAAACTGCTTGCGGTTTTGCGATGCCAGCTTTTGGAATTTTTAGAAAATTTTTTTTCAAAATTGAAATTTTGTTTTAAAAACAACACAAATTAAAATATTGTTTCAACAATTCTATTCTGCCTGACTTAACGAAAAAATCCTGTAAGTACCGGGAAAATAAAATGACGACGGAGTCGATATCATATCTAATTATTTGGTTATAACTGTCAAATACTTATGTTTGTTGTTATGAAAAATACAACAATCGAACAAGAAAAATATTGATTCGAAATATCTGCTTCTGTAGCACTCTCTCACCCAGAATTTCTCTCACATAATAAACAACATTATCTCAACATGCTTGTTACCCATACTATCAAAATTGTGCTCTAATTACTTAGTTCAGATAACTGGTTCATTGAATAAGTACTTACTCTTAATAACCATTTCAGTGCATTTAAAAATAATTTTAAATTCCAAATTTTTAAGTGCAAAATAAAACAACAACATTCACACAAAAACAAAAATACAGCAAAAACAACACATACATATATGATTTATATATACAAAATATTAAAAAAATAATTAACATTTTATTGTGTAAAAATAATTTAAAGTATTTTATCGCATGTAGTTAAAGTGACACTCATACACACAGTGCATAATATCTAGAATTTCATATAGTAATTATTCTAACCTCGGAATCCCGATTGGCCGTTGGCAAAACCTTGGGCACCACCAATATTACCAAAAGCTCCACTGTTGGCATTAGCACCGCCAAAGCCACCAAAACCGCCGAAACCACCTACATTACTGTTGGCATTTGTAAAAGCATTGCCACCACTGCCATTGGAATTTGAATTAGCTGAAGCTACAGCATTGGCATTGGCCGATTGACCACCACGACTAACTGCCGAGGCATTACTGCTGGCACTGTTGCTGACAAATCCATTGGGTCCTTGTACACTATTAACATTAGCATTAGTTTGGGCACCAGCATTTTGTCCATTATTTCCCTGGAAAATCGATTGACTGCTGGAATCGGCTTGGGAACCACGGGTGTTACCCTCTTCGAAGACCACGGAATTGGTATTGGCTATATTGCTAGAGGTACCAAAGGCATTGTTGTTTGTCGATTGGGAACCACCATTGGCCTCATAACGTTCACCAGTAGCGGTTTGTATTTCCTTGGTACCGGCATTGGCATTGGCTGCTTGTTGTTGATTTTTGTCAAAGTTTAAAGCTTGACTTTGAGCATTATTAGAGCTTTGAGAGCCACCATTTGTTAGGGAACTATCTTGATTAACATTAGCAGAACTTAATTGACCGCTGCTGCCATCTGTAGCCAAATTTGAACCTATGCTGGAAGCACCATTATTTTGGAAAAAACCATTGGCATTTAGTTCCTGATTGCTTTGGGTATTAGCCCCAGCTTGTTGTTGGAAACCATTGAAAGCATTATTGGCCATACCCTGGGCATTTGCGTTCTGTTTCTGGGCACCACCAAAACCAAAGTTGGGTTGTTGGAAGCCGAAACCGGGACGTTGTAAACCGGGGCGTTGGAAACCAAATGAGGGTCTGCCAAATTGACGTCTTGGACGCTCAAAGTCACTGCCGGGATAAGCGAATGGTATAAATTGAGCCTTACGTTTGGGTCTAACAAAAGTTCTTTGGGGTAGACCAAAAACGGATGTAGGGTTTCTACGTCTTCTATTTTGACCAAAACTATTGACATTTGCAGCAGCACCACCCGCTAAACCGCCAGCCGAGGCTGATGTCTGGCCATTTTGTGTGCGACTAATGGCATTTGAGTTGGACATGGTTTTGGTTATGCCAAGTTTGCCAATTTGTTTCGACTGACTTTGGGAATTACTGTTAGATTTGGCTACGGCACCTACACCCTGAGCCTGGGCTTGCGCCTGTGTTAGGGCCTGGGCTGGCTGCTGTTGTTTTTGGTTGCGTGATAAATCAATATTCAAGAAACCCAAATTAAGATCTAAACCACCTTCTTTATCACGTTTAATGCCCAAACCATTGCGCAAATTATCACGGGACAAGGAAGATTCAACACCCAACCTACCAACATTCAAATCATAACCAACAGCTTTTGAAACTGCTCCATTGGTCATAGTCTTAGTGCGTGTTAGCGTACTACCGATATCCAAGCGACCTAAACTGACTTCTTTCGATTTAGCCTGACTTTTAGCTACAGTGGTGGTACCACCATTAGCGAAGCCTCCATTAGTTTTGGTTACAGTTTTAGCATTGACAACACCACGAGAAGCTTCTAGTCGGCCGAGTTCCACTTGACGTTCGTAGGCATTACTACTGGCTTTCGATACCGAACCCGTACGGGGAACGTTGTTTATGAGGGGTTGCTGTTGTTGTTGACGTTGAAAGAATTGTGAATGGGATTCTAAAATGAGAATAAGTTAAGAGATGTAGTTGCTGTATATATCTGTATACTGCTGTATATATATTTAGCGAGAATTTTGATATGGATTTCAGAGATTGACATTAGGACTGAACGATGAAATGTTATTGGACTGAAAGTGTTCATGGTACGATCATACAATTAAAAGGATATTTGATTTTAGATAAATTTCAAATAAATTCACATATTTATATCTAGGAATAGAAACTCCACATTATTTGATTTGTAACACACAAATCTGTAAGCAGCACTTTTTAGTGATCAAAAAAACCGATCTTTAGTTCCACGTATTCGGAAAATGCACTAAATTCTCGGAACAAATTGTTGTATTTTAACGAAAACTTTGTATTTACCTTGTGGTTGGCATATGGCCAAAACAGCCACAACCAAAACAACTTTCAAGGGGTTGAAGAACATTATACCCCGTTTCTTGATTTATATTACACTCTGGAAAATTCCAAAAAAATCCAAAAATAATTTCACTTTTCGAAATTCGTATTCGATTTTGTTAAATTGTTCTGTGTGTACCGTACCGTTTAACGTTTATCGACAATCTGAGCTTCAAATTTTGGCTGAAATCACTCTATAAACTACCAAAAAGCCAACAAAAAAAAATTCGTATCTATGAGCGTAAACGTGCGTGTGTGCTCGTTTATGTATATATAAACGATAAAGCAGTGAAAATTATGATTGGCTAAAATCAATATACCACATTCTGTTAGTTCGCTTATACCCAAAAAAAAGAAAAAAATCAGCTAATTTTAAAATTAAGATGGGTTCTGGTTAAACTTGTTATGGGAATTCTTAGTAGCAAACAAATTAAAAAAAATGTGTTAAATAATTCATAATAAATAAAGAAAAAAAACCCCATCACAATTGTTTCGTGTTTGTACGAATTTGAATTTGATTTGTATCTTGAAATACAAGTATAATTTAATTCATTGTTTACAGGTGCCAGCATCACTTAAGACCATGACTTGCCTTGACTTCACTTCAAGCGAACTCTCTAAAGAAAGAAATCAACAGAATAAAATAAAAATAATAAAAAAACAAACATCTCGTGAATTTTATTTAGATGATTTAATGTTGTTTTCTCGTGTTTCAAAACATTAACCGGGGGGAATTTCTGGTTTTTAAATTTCTTAGTTCTTAATTTTTTTATTTTATATATTTATTAGATGTTTTAATACTATTTTGATGGTGGTTTTAATTTGTTTTGTTTAAATAAATGATTTAATTTATTTAAACGTTTTAATGACGCATTATAGTTTTAAATTGATAAAACTATTAAGAAAAAAACTTAATTTGAAAATTTACACAACTAAAAATTTTATATGGGGAGTTTCATATATAATTACAATAAATACTAGTTTCCTAAGTGCTTAAAGAGGTTTTAGATTAAATCGGACAATGACTTTGTTTTAGTATTAGTTATTTTTCTGAAAAACCATAAATGACTCAAAAAACTTTTAAAAATGGAAATATGGTACTACGAAAGCTTGATTATGAGCATTATTAAGATGCCATTTGTAAAGTCACGTAATAGAATATTAGTAGAACTTAATTGACCACTACTGCCATCTCTAGCCTAATTCAAAACGATATTTTGAAAAAAACCACGTACCAGTTTCTACACAGAGGGAAAAAACCGATAGAAAAGTACCGAAATTGATACAATCCGTTGTCAAAATGAGCTTACCACGTTTGTTCACATTTAGACAACCACCGTGGTAATTTTGACAACGAATTGTTGTCATTTTGATTACGGCTTGTATTATTTCGGCAATGCATCGTTGAGATTTCGACAACGTACCGTTGTCATTTCAAAAACGCAACGTTTGGTTGACAGCAGTGTCACTTTGATAACACATCGTTTTCACTCTGAAAAGATACCCCCTGAAAATAAATAAATAAAATTTAGGACAAATTTTAAAATTTTCGTATTTAGCCGTCGCCAGTCGTAGATAGAATCTGCGTTTATAATTTGACAACGTCATGTAAAATGTTGTTAATTTGACAACTATCCGTACATACTTTGACAACGGATGTCATTGAAAATTTATAAAGACTTTGTTGTCAATTATATGTATATATAATTTTAAAACGTCTTTCAAAATGGGTTTGCTAGAAACGCAAAATGGGAATGTTGAAAAACGGAACATTATAAACCAAGTGAGGGTCCGCCAACATCGCACCTTGGATATTCAAAGTTATTTCCCTATTAAAATGTGGAAAAATTCCATTCCTTCAAAAACTTTATAAGGTTATCGGAAGAAAAACCGATAAGAAATATTTGGTGAAAATTCATGCTTTCAACTTATAGAGAATGTTTTGACTATTGCTTTCCACCATTATGAACAGCCGAAATCAAGAGCTTTTGAATATATCTTGACCAAATTTTTATTGACTTTGTGTAGTTTAGTATTCTTAGTCGAGAACAAGAGGAGCTTTCGAAGTCTTTAAATTAAGTCGTAATTTAACCGTTTACTTTACATCAGCATTAATTGCCGAGATCGAGTCCCAAAATTCTTCTTAACTTCCTCGTAATTTAACTGCTTCATGTTTGTATTCTTAGTCAAAATCAAGATCCATCAAATTCTGTTTGACTGAATTCGTCTCGATTTCGTTTATCTTTCTAGCTAAGAAATCATAGTACGAGTAAACGTTTTCTTATAACCAATACTTCTCACCTAAGCAACAGCGATTTCTTTGTTTAATTCCCTAAGGCGATGATTGTACGTACTACCGTCAACTCGATTCCACAGCTGTAATTTTACCGTCAACATCATATAACACCTCTCAAATCATCCAAGGGATGCGCTAGGGGTGCGTGTAATTCTTCTGTTTCCCATCCGATTTCAAAAATTTTATATTTGTGGAAAGAGCTGGACTAGGTTTAAAAAAAAACAAATCCCGCAATTCCAAAAAATTGGAGCAAAAACTTCAAAAATGGTATTTTCTACAATTTTGTCCATGGGATCCACATATTATCCGGTTTCATTTAGATAGATTC